GCGAAGTGGGACCGCGCCAGCCCGAGCGCCAGCGCCGTGAGCTCCATGAAGACGCCATTGAGGCGGAGCATCGCGCGGAAGTACGCGTCGATGGCCTCGTTCAATCCGTCGACGAGGTGGCCGAGCGACGGGTCCCGGCCGTCGCAGAGGGCGATGTACTCCATGGCGTAGTCCGCGGGCCTCGCGACGGAGCTGCGGCCGTCGGCCGACACGCCCGCGCCCGCGACGGCGACGACGCCCTGCCGCTTGTAGCCGCGGCCGCGGTCGTCGATCACTCCGTCCGCGACCGCGTCGCGCTCGTCCTCCGTCGTCGTCTCGAAGAACTGGCGCGCGAGGCCGTGGGCGTCCTCGATGACGGCGTCGGCGACGCCGTGGCCCACGACCTGCGAGAAGCCGTAGGTCGCGTAGGCGTCGCGCCAGGCCGCGACGACGGCCGCCGCGGCCGGCGGCGGGGTCGCGTCGTCGTCGCCGGGGTTCAGCGACGCGCGCCAGGCGACGTAGGGCGCGATGTCCAGCGTCGGGATCGAGAGCTCCGTGTTGGCGGCCATTGGGACGGTCAGGCGGCGACAGACGACGGCGCGGTGGTCCTTGCCACAGCCAATTGCCACAGCCGGATTCTTCGCCAAAGCCGCACCATCGACATCAAGCGCAAGGGTATGGACGCTGCCCACTGTCTCGTCGTGCCCTGAACGGCTCTGAGTGAGTGAAAAATTGCCCAAGGAACTGTGAAACGTGTCGCGTTAGCGTGAGACGGTTTCTGGTCGAGACCATGACGCGCAAAGAGTGGCGCGCCATGACTACCTGCCTCGCCATGCTCTGCACCATCCCATGCGCAGCGCTCGTCGTCCCGGACCGGCCTGCCGCGCGCGTCGACGCGCGGGACCACGCGGCCATCGCGGCGGCGCTCGACGCCGGCGAGCCCTTCATCGCCGCCGAAGCCCTGAGCGCGCGCGACTGCGAGGCCTGGACCGATGCGCTCATGATGCGACTCGGCGACGCGCCCGTCCGGAGGCAGCGCCGCGGCGAGGCGCTGGAGATGCCGCTGGGCGCCTTCTTCGAGGACGCGCTTACGTCAAGCCACGCATTACCCTCCTTCCTCTTCGACGAGTTCCTGCTCGACGGCGACGACGACCTCCGCGGCGCCGCCGTCGGCCCGCAACGCGCCATCTTCGGAGGAGAACGAAGTTGGTTCGACCACTTCCCGGAAAGCCGGCGGCCGCGGGACGGCTGCGTCGTCGGCGCCGGCGCCGGCGCGCGGTCGCCCCTGCACCGCGACCCCTACGACTGGACGGGCACGTCGCTCTGCGTCGAGGGATCCAAGGTCTGGCGGTTCGCGCTCGACGTAGCCGACGCGGACCTCGGCGCCTACGAGCTCGCGAGCGAGGCCTTCGGCGGCGACAGCGCGGGCACGCAGAGCGACGCGGACCTCTACGCGCGGCGCGTCGGCGACGGCTGGCCCGAGCCCTACGCGTACGACGACGATCCCGCGCTCGCGGCGACCTGGTCCGCGGCGGCGCGCTTCGCGCCCGACGTCGCGCTGCCGAAGACCGCGCGCTTCGTGACGGCGTTGCAGCGCGCGGGCGACGTCGTCGTCGTACCGCCGCGCGCCTGGCACCAGACCTACGCGCTCGAGCCGAGCCTCGCCGTCGCGTCGCAGTTCTGCGGCCGCCG